AACCGCCAGCCTTCTGGTTAGCAGTCAAATGCCTTAGGCACTATGCTATCATAGCTCCCCACATATTCAATAGAAGGTAATATTACCAGCAAGTAGTACTGAGATGTGTGGAGAGTCATTAGGAAAAAATAAATACTTCTTGTCCTTTGCCTCATGCTTTTCACAAGTTTAACTCAAATTTAACAGATTTGAATAAAAGAGGCAAAACCATAAAACTACTTTCTAGAAGTTTTCTTTTGAAACTGTAAAAAGAAAACCTTGTGACCTTGACAATGATTCCTTAACCAGGACACAGGAAACACAGACTACAAAATTTAAAAATCAATGAATTGAACTTAATGAAAAGAAAATTTATCATTAGGATACATTCTTATAAAAATGAAAACACAACCCACGGGCTGTATAATAATAATGAGGAAAAAGTCATCAAGAAACAGCAAGATTTGGACAGTTTATCAAAGAACATATGTGAACGGCGAATATTACATGAAGAGGTGCTCCATATATTCAGCCACTAGGAAAAAGCATAAGAAGATCACAACGTGAAGTCAAGGAAAGCCTTGCTATGCCGGAAGGAACCTTCCTTGCTGGTTACCAGGGATGGGAGGAGAAGGGAAGGGAGGGAGAATAGATGCCTAATTAAGAGACAGGTTTCATATGGGTGAAAGGATTTTAAAAATAAGAAACGAATAAAATATGTGAAGGAAAAAAAAAAAAAAGATACCAAGGACATTTACCTCATGTGCTATATACTTAAGCATCAGATAAATCTAAAAAAATAAAAATAAAAAACCACAGTGCAATATCACTCTACACTCACTAGAATGGCTAACACTAAAAACAAACAAATAAATGACCATGCCAAGTGATGGTGGGCTGTGCAGGAGAATGGACTCTCACATATGGTTGCATTAAATAATACAATTTAGTGTACATCAGTTATATTTCAGTAAAGTTATCAAAGAAAAGGAAAAAATTCACTTGCCTCACAAAGAACAAAAACCTTTAGGATCCTATGCCTTCTAGTCACAAACCAGGAAACCCTTCAAAAAATTGTTTTAACACAAAGAAACATCTCTTTGACTGCTGGCCTCAAATTCAGTCCCATTCGAGAAAACAAGTATCGTTAAAATGTTGTGATGCTTACACTCTTTTTATTTAATGCATTTGCTTACATCCATACACAAATACAACTTTTTAATGTAAATCAGAATCATTACTATAGATACTATTTTACAGTGTTGCTTTTACACTCGTAATATGTTTAGAAAGACATTTCATACCACCCTCCCTAAATCTGCTGCACCGTGTGTGTGTGTGTGTGTGTGTGTGTGTGTGTGATATATACATAACAAAACATAGTCCATTTCAATTGTTTCTACACGGACAGTTTAGTGACATTGACTACATCTTTCAAGTTGTGCAGCCTTCCTCGCCATCTTTTTCCATATCATTCCACCACCATTAACATAAACTCAATGCCCCCTTAGCAAAAACTTCCTCTTTCCCCCTCTTTCCCCCCAGGTAACCGCTAATGATCTTTCCACCAAAGCTCCCAATGATCTTTGTAGATATTTGCTTATTTAATATACATGAGAGGATACAGTATTTGTCCTTTTGTAACTGACTTATTTCTCTCGGCATGTTTTCAAGGCTCATCCATGGTGTGGTCTGCATCAGGACTTCATTTCTCCTTATGGTTGAGTGGCACTTCACTGCACGTATATACACATTTTGTTTATCCATTCATCTGTTGACGGATCATTTCCATATTTTCCACCTTTTGGCTATTGCTCAAAATGCTGCAATGAATGTTGGTGTTGTACCTTTTTAACGGATAAAACTCTAAAACTCATTGCCCTCAAGTTGGATCCGACTCATAGCGACCCCTCCTTGGGTTTCCAAGGCAGTATCTCTATGGAAGTAGATTGCCCAGTCTTCCTTCCAAGATTAAATCATATAGATGCACTTCATTTTATGATTCTCTCCTGATGGACTCAAATTGAAATTTAAAGACATAATGCAGTGGTTAAAGCACTCAGTGGCCAATCAAAATGGGCAGTTTGAACCCACCAGCACTCCATGGGTGTAAGATGTGGCGCTCAGCTTCCATAAGATTATAACCTTAGACAGCCTGTGGGGCAGTTCTACTCTGTCCTATAAGGTCACTGTAACTCAGAATTGACTTGAGAGCAGTAGGTTTGGTTTAGTTTGGTTTCTACATATATCTTTGGACACGAATTTGTTTCTTTAAAAATATATTTTTTTAATCCCAAGTGAACAACAAAATAGTACCTTGTTCATTCAACAAAGAGTTCCTTAGGTCTTTCTCTGTGTCCAGTACTGATATACAGAAAAGAATAGTTAGTGATCAGAAAGGCATTGCATTTTAGAGGAAGAGGCAGACAGGTGAACAGACTGTTACAGTGCAGAAAGGTGAGCACTCTGATAGGAGCAGCACAGGAGGCTGTGAAAAGGCAGGTAGGGGTACCCCACCTGGTGGTTCAGCATAAATTACTCTCCAAATGACCACACACTTCAGCAGAACTGGCACCTTCTCATCTAAGTCCTTCTCCTTCCCCCAAGGCATGCCCAGCACAGGGCTCTGAACACAGGTACCTCAATTAGAGCTGCTGGCCAATAGACTGAAGTTATGGTTGACACAATATCTTGAATCCTTCTGGTCCACTGGCTGAGCCCAACCCCGCCTAGCAAGGACAATAAAGACCTGTGTTGAAAGTCACTCCCAATAGAGAGTTCTGGACTCCACAGAACCCACGGCCTACTCTCTTTAAGGAGCCATGAGGACCCTATTGTTCACCTTTGCAGTCTTTATGCTCCTGGTCCAGTTGGTCTCAGGTAAACAGAATCTTGGAGAAGACGTAACTCAGACAGGGTCCTGCACATGAAGTCCCTATTGTCAAACTGTCCGTGGGAGTGGGGGAGGGTTCTCAAGATGGGGGTGCTGAGGTCTGCCCTACTTCTTCTCTTTTCCAAGAACCCAATAGAGCAACTGGAGCTGGGAGAGGGTAATGTGAACGTTGTAGTCACCTCCAAAGGCAGAGATGCCTTGATGTTCCAAACTTCTCTGTCTTCTCACTTAGAGCAGTCCAGTCCAGATCTTGCCTCACTTCACTTTGTATGCTACCTGTCTTATCTCATGAAGTAACAATTACGTAATTATTTCTCCCAATTTTCTTGATCCAACAGAGAAATTCTCCCATATATATATATTTTTTTATTCTGGGACGTGGTAGATAGGACAGGCAAAATACCTGCAGGGCTGTCAGACAGAAGGGGAGAGAAAACTATTCTGTGTGAACATGGGGAAAAGATTTAGGGCAACTGTATGTCCTATTCCATATTTCCACTTCATTTGTGTATTTCCTTTATTTTAATTAATTCTATAGTTTTCATTTATAAAATTAAGGCAAGCACAAAAATGGCTATAATTCATCTCTCCTAATATTTTCTAATTAGTGACCAAGGGATACTCGTGTTTCTAATCTGCTTTTTTACTTAACATTGTATCAGGAAAATTTTCACAGGTTTTTAAATATTCCTTAAAAATTCAATTTGCAATGTGTGCTTATTATTCTGTTATATTTTTATAGCAATATTCACTTGGAGAATCCTTTATTATATGTCAGTTGCCTGATTTTTTTTTCCAAATGTCACTATTGTAAAGAATATTATATTATCTTGTTAATATATCATTATAGGTTCTCTGATTATATAGGCAAACCCATTGCTCAGTCAAAGGGTGTGATTTATTTTAATAAACTAATAATAACTGGCAACATATACCAGTTATTATTAGTGCTTTGTCATTAATTTGTTATGTTTGTTTTAACAAACGAATAAGGATTATTTCCTCATTTTTTAAAAATGTGCTTAGAAAAGTAATAAGAATTTTAGCCTTTCCTTTTCGTATTTATTGCAAATAGTTCCTAACATATTAGTTGCTTCTAAAATTTTTCATTAACTTATTGGTGGCACAGAATTTTCATTTTTATGTTGTTAAATCAGTTGACATTTTTTCTGCATTCTTCCATTATCTTAGAAGATTCTTCCCCATGTTGAAAATACATATTCACCCAAGTTTACTATGTTTTATGGTTCAACTTTTTAAACTGGTCTCAATCTCAACTTTAATTCATGGTACAGTATGAGAAACTAACATTTTGAGGTAGAACTTTCTAATAGATAGAGAGCTGTATAAGAACTCTACCATCTGCCTCTAGAGAGGGCTATTTCTTCTTTCTAGAAGTTGCAAAACTATTCAAATTAATGGTTAAAAAAAAAAAAAAAAAAAAAAAACCTGCCATGGGGTTGAGGACTCAAAGCAACAGAGTAGAACTGCCCCTAGGGTTTCCAAGGCTGTAAATCTTTATGGAAGTAAACCACCTCATCTTTCTTCTGCCGAGTGACTGGTGGGTTCAAACCACCAAACTTTTGGTTAGCAGCCAAATGCCTTAGCCAATGCACCACCAGAGCTCCTTTTAAATTAATATTAGATGAGAGGAAATTAATAATGGTGTGAGGGTTGCCTCAGAAAATGTTTCTGGCCTAGTGCATCCTTGAAACTCTGTGCATTTAGATTTTATGATTTCTCCCTCTGCCTCTAGGACATTGATGACCTATATCACATATTTCCATGGCATCCTCTTACTAAATCAAAAGACTTTGAGCAAACTCCTCAGTTTGCTTATTGTACAAACACAAGCAATTAACATTATTCTGTAAGATTAGCCAATCTTACTCCAAGACCTGGTGGCATTAGAAACAGAACAGCTAGGGCATTTGAGAATAATAATAATAATAATAAAAAAAAAAACCCAGGGCCCAAGGAAGATCAGGACAGAAAGTAAGGAAACTTGATCTCAGGTTTCCATTCACATCACCCAGCTGAAGAAAGACATATGAATGTCATCTCTATGGAGATATTTGGGACAGTAAAGAAGGAATGACAGAGGGAGTGGCTGAAGGGGAAGTTTAAGTCCAAGGACCATCATACAGAGGCCTTGAGGATGCAGAGAATAAGAAGAGAAGGAAGAGTAAGAAAAGTCATGAAAACAATAGAAGTCAACTGATCTTTCTTTCTTCAGATACATCAGGCTCTTCCCCGGCTTGTGTCCTTTGCACATGCTGTTCCTTCTTCCCCACTCTTCCTCTAGCTCTTCATATACCTGGATCCTTTCCATCCTTCATATCCAGGTTTTACCTCCTCAGGGATAATTTCTTAGATCACCCGTGCAGAATTCTGATTTCAAGAATCAGAAGTTATCTTTCTATAAGTTGATAATCTTTCAGCAAAACAACTCCAGAGTTACATTCCAAATATGATCTATAAATCTGTATATGTATATATGTAAATCTCATTTAATCCTCAAAGGACCCTTAAGAGACTGGTAAAGGATACTGCTGTTGTTATTGCTATTTGCCGTCGAGTCAGACCCAACTCATAGCGACCCCTCCTTGGGTTTCTGAGGCGGTATCACTACGGAAGTAGATTGCCCAACCTTCCTTCCGAGGAGTGGCTGGTGGGTTTGAACTGCCAGCCTTCTGGTTACCAGTCAAATGCCTTAGGCACTATGCTACCAGAGCTCCTGGTAAAGGATACTAGTAGTGGTAATAATTAGTACTCAAAAACAATTGCTCCTTTCACTTTGTATTATGTCACATTGTCTCTTTGCTGCATTTATCAAAATCTGTAGTTATTTTGTTTATTCATTGGCTTTTCTGTTTTCTTCTTCCCCATCTCCAACGTAAGCTTTTCAAATCTTGTCTGTCCTGTTCATTTCTTTATTCCCAACATTTTGCAGAGTTCTTGACAGATTAAGCACTCATATGTATTTGTTGGTTGGATAAAGGAATGAATTAAGCAAGGCAAGAGAGAGTTCTAACATCTCTTCAGGACTTTCTGTGTGTTAGACCTTGTAATGAGAGATTTTACGTATGTATATAATATGTACACATGGATAGACATATCCTGCAGAACGCTTCCCTAGTGAATATATTCCTGGTTGAATGGCTTTTGGTTTTTCTTCCCAAATTCTTTTAGAATTACTGATGTCCCAATATTATATAAATATAGATATATTGTTGTGTGCCATTGAGTCGATTCCGATTCATAGTGACCCTGTATGACAGAGTAGAAGTGCCTCATAGGGTTTCCCAGGCTGTAATCTTTATGGGAAGGAGCCCTGATGATGCAGTGGTTAAGTGCTCACCTGCTAACCAAAAGATAGGCAGTTTAAACCCACCAGCCTCTCTGAGGCAGAAAGATGTGTCTGTATGCTTCCATGAATATTCCATCCTTGGAAACCCTGTGGTGCACTTCTACTTGTCCTATAGGCTCATTATGATCAGAACTGATGGCAACAGTTTTTTTTTTTTTTTTTTTTTTTTTAAGTCTTTATGAGAACAAATTGCCAGGTCTTTTTTTCCCATGAGGCTGGTGGTGGGTTCAAACCACCAACCTTTGGGTTAGCAGCCAAGCTATTAACCACCAGGGCACAATACATCTAACCAAAACCAAACCATTGCATTGGATCAATTTCAACTCATAGCAACCCTTAGGACAGAGTCGAAGTGCTCCATAGGGTTTCCAAGGCTGTAAATCTTTACAGAAACAGACTGCCTCATCTTCCTCCCACAGAATGACTGGTGGGTTCAACCACCAACTTTCTTTCATTTAGCAGCCATGTGCTTGAACCACTGTGTCGTCGGGGCTCACTTATAGTTATCTACATACCTATATCTAGAGTACCTATAAGGAGCTCTGGTGGCGTAGTTGTTAAGGCATTTGGCTACCAGCCAAAAGGTGAGTGGTTTGAATCCTAGTCACTTGACAGAAAAAAAGATAAGGCAATCTACTTCTGTAAAGATTTACAGCCTTGGAAACCCCATGGGAGTCTCTATGAGTCAGATTCGACTCAATGGCAGTGAGAACCTGAGAGTGTCTGTATATCTCCATCTAGAGAAACCTAGAAAAGTTTTAAATTTATCTTTTATAATGATACATTTTTAGCAAAACAATATATAAATAAATCCAGAGTTACATTCCAAATATAACTTATAGGACTTCAGAAACATGTACATATATTTTGAAAACCCTCCAAGTGACCACAAAAGCCATGCACATTTTGGACAATGCTGAGAAGCATTACAGCGACGACTGGGGATTTTGTGCTTATGAACACTCATAATGTATCATGTATTTTCCCATTTAAAATAGTGGCAAGTAGGAGTCTGGTGAGAGTTTGCCTGCAGAATTCTGATTTTAGGAATGATAGGCCCATCCATGTATCTCAAATTCTATGTGTGTAAGTATCCCTAAAAGTTTGTGATAACTTTCTCTGGTTTAATGATCTATCTAATTCCTTTGTGCAGGTAACTGGTACGTGAAAAAGTGTGCAAACAAAAGCGGAAATTGCAGGATGAAGTGCAGAAGTGGAGAAGTAGAAACACACCCTCCTACTTCAAAGTGCCCCAAAACCAAAGTATGCTGCATTCTCCCTACCAGTGGTTACGGTGGTTCATGTGGAGCCCCAAAGACTACACAGATGACAGGAAAGACAGCTGTGAAGACACCTAGCCAAGGAACTACTACCGCTGGCAGCAAAGTAACTACTACAGCCGTGACCACTGCTGCTCATTGAACATTCTGGCCTGTCTCCTGACCGAGTTTCTCTGGTCCATTAAAGTGAAGGCTCTTATTCTAGTGTCAATCTTCATTCCTCCCTCCCCTAACTATTGTCCCCCCAACAATGTCTTGGAAGAGTATCACAAATCAATAGCATTGGTAGTTTGAGGTTAAAAAAAAAAAAACCTCATTGTCATCACATTGATGATTCTAACTTATAACCAAAACCAAACACACTGCCGTTGAGTTGGATCTGACTCATAGCAACCCTTTCTGAGTCAGTATTACTATGGAAGTAGATTGCTCATTCTTCCTTCCGAGGAGCGGCTGGTGGGTTTGAACCGCCAGCCTTAGGCACTACACCACCAGAGCTCCTATTCCAACTCATAATGACCCTATAAAAACTCACTGCTGTCAGGTTCATTCAACCCTCTTTGGGTTTCCTATAGAGCAGAGTAAAACTGCCCCAGAGAGGATCCAAGGCTGTAAATCTTTATGGAAGCAGATTGCCTCATAAGATGGCATTCATTTAGTCACTTACTTATTTCTCAAATTTTTTAAAATTCATTTTTTAATTTATTTTGCAAGTGAGAGTGAGTCCAAAAATCCCATTCTGGATTGATAGATAAAAGTTGTGTTATCCTTGAAGATGGTTCCCAGCCTACAGACCCACAGTCTATCTATAGCAGTGATTATCATTCTTAAATGTGCATCAGAAACATCTGGAAGGATTCTTAAAACAAAGATTTCTAGGTCTCAACTCCAGAGGTTCTGATTGAGCAGGACTCTAGTAGAGCCCAAGAATTTGCATTTCTCACAAGTTCCTAAAGAATGATGATGTGGCTGGTCCAGGGAACACTCTTTGGCCTATAATACAGAATGATTGAAGTCCTGATTTTCTACAGATTGAAGGATACATTTCCTGTATATTTTCAAAGAGGTTTATAATACAATAGCATCCCTACAGAAAGCTTTCATAAGCCTTTCCTTAATAGACTTCCTCCAACAACCTTGGGATGTAGGTACTATGACCTCATTTCAAAGAAAAGAGAATGTGATTTGGAAGCATTAGAACTGACACATAATTAGTTGATTACTGAGAGCATTCCATCACTACACCTTGTTGTTGTTGTTGTGTGCCATCAAGTCGGATCCGACTCATAGCGACCCCTCCTTGGGTTTCTGAGGTGGTATCATTACAGAAGTAGATTGCCCCATCTTCCTTCCGAGGAGTGGCTGGTGGGTTTGAACCACCAGCCTTCTGGCTACTACACCTTGATGCTCTGCAATTGTCTCCTCTTCCTGGAAATCCACAATTATATGTTTCCAACTCAGAGAGGAAGGATTAAACCACAGGACTTTTCTCCTAAGAGCTTTGCTTACATCACTCAGAAAACATGGCCAAGGCCAAGAGTCATCCATCCTCAGCCCACTTCCCTAAGAGCTGGAACAGACAGAATAGGAAATGCAGCTTTCGCTTTCTGGACACCTATCATAGCCAGGTATGTCTTCGTTGGCCACAGACAGTTTGCCCACTTATGAAATGATAGGGTTGACTAAATGTCTTTCTTCTCACCCTTACCATGCTAACATCCCTCTGATTATAAAAACATGAGCTTAGCTTATGCCTTGTGAAGCCAACTTCACCTTCAACCTCAGAAAAAGCAAAAGATGTAGAAAAGGGGTCTGGAGGTTGGAGAAAACATTGGTGGAAGCCCATGAGTGTTGTCATAGAATCCTTTTTCTTCTCCACTTAATCCCACATCCAGTTACTAATAGATCCACGTACATTCTACCTCCTATAAAATGTGCCATGACTTCTATTTACCCTGTACAAGCTCAGTCCTCAAATTCTTCCCCAGAAGTATTGCAATAGCCTCCCTTTTGATCACTCTGCCATACCCACTCATCTTCTGCATTGATAATTGGAGTCACTTTTCTGAAACACCAGTCCAGTCATTAAACTTCCATTTGACCATCACTGCCAATCACATCCTAGTCAATATTTTAGTCCAACCTTCAGCGTTCTTCATATTCAGATATTCATATCCATATCCTAGATTACATTTCCAATTTTATTTCTTATTGCTCTCCCACTGTTCACCCTGCACTTCTGCCATACACTTATTTGTGATTGATTGGAACTCACTGGATTGTTTCCCGGTTTTGAGTCCTTGTACATGTTCTTTTCTCTCCACATATTCCCATCTGATAAAATCATTCTTTGCTCTTTTCCAAAAGACATTTATAATCACACTGCTCTGTCTAACACAGAACCAATTGCCACCTCTCTTGTTCCAACTTTGCTTGCTGAAAGTGAGGATGACTTGAGGCACTTACTGATGAAGGTTGAAGAATACAGTCTGCAGTATGGATTACGTCTCAATATAAAGAAAACAAAAATCCTCACAACTGGACCAATGAGCAACATCACAATAAATGGAGAGAAGATTGAGGTTGTCAAAGAATTCAAGAACATTGCTTGATTCTACAATCGATGCCAATGGAAGCAGCAGTCAGGACATTAGATGACATGTAGCATTGGGAAAGTCAACCGCAAAGAAACTGCTTCAAGTGCTGAGGAGCAAGGATGTCTCCTTGAGGACTAGGGTGCACCTGACACAAGCCATGATATTTCCAATCGCCTCGTATGCATGTGAGAGCTGGACAATGAATAAGGAAGACCGAAAAAGAGTTGATGCTTTTGAGTTGTGGTGCTGGCGAAGAATGCTGAAAGTACCATGGACTGCTAAAAGAACTAACAGATCTGTCCTGGAGGAAGTGCACCTGAAATGCTCCTTGAAAGCAAGAATGGCCAGACTTCATCTCACCTATTTTGGTTATGTTGTCAGACGGGACCATTCCTTGGAGAAGGATGTCATGCTTGGTAGGGTGGAGGGTCAACGAAAGAGGGCGAGGCCTTCAACAAGATGGATTGACACGGTGGCTGCGATGATGGGCTCAAGTATAGCAGGGATTGTAGAGCTGGCACAGGATCAGGCAGTGTTTCGTTCTGCTGTGCATGGGGTCGCTATGAGTCGGAAACAACTCAATGGCACCTAACAACAACAACAATTGTTCCATTACTATGGCTTATCCATAATTCTATTTTATCATATCACATGCTGTATTCTAGATATCTGATTATAGATTTTTTTTACTAGACTTTGAAATGTTATTCAAAGGCAAGAACCATTTTCTTTATCTCTTTTCATCCCCTGATTAGAGGTAGATAGCTGTCATTGAGTCAACTCCGATCATAGTGACCTTATGTACAACCGAACAAAACAACAGAACAAGACATTGCCTGGCACCATGTCATCCTCATAATCACCAGCCTATTTCAGCTCTTTGTGCCAGTCCATCTCACTGAGTGTCACCCTCACCGTGGCAGGCCCTTTACTTCACTAAATATGATGTCTTCCTCCACTAGTTGATTCCAAAGCAAGCCAGTCGGACAATGTTCTGTGTTGATCCATAAGGTTTACATTAGCTAATTTTTGGAAGTAGATTGCCACACCTTTCTTCCTAGTCTGTCTTAGTCTGGAAGCTCCTCTGAAACCTGTCCACCATGAGTGATCGTGCAACACACAAGCCACCACAGTACAACAAACTGCATGCATGGTGGATCCCTTAACAAGATTATACATTAATTCTTAGTGAATTCTTACTGAATACAGAAAGTTTTGGGGGCCAGAAAGACTTTTGGGTGATACTGAAATCTCACCTTTATTTATTCTAGACCTTCCTCAAGGAGACAGGCCTCTGCCAAGAGACACATCTCTGATCCATGTCTTTATAGTAATGGAGATATGAGAGGTGGATTGTCCCAACTAGTAGGAAATTGGCACCTCTTATACCCATGGCTATCCGTGTAGGCAGAATTTGTGAACTTACACAAGCAGGTGTATGGATGCAGATGGGTCACTTCAACAGAAGGTCATGGTAGGAAACAAGCATGAGTCAGACACATTTGAGGTTATTCATGGCCCCACCACATGTTCACTGATGCACAATGGGCAGTTGGTTTCTTATCTTTGAGTATAAGTTAATGAACTTGAAAAATAGAGAAAATACTTACTTTGAGGATTTCCAGAGTACTATGTTAAACCATTAATCATCAGCTGTACAGGTTGCTTATTTGCAGATAAAGAGCAAAAAGAGCACATTTCCTCAGGGCCTTGTCATTCGACCATGGCTATTCTGCATGGGTATGGGCTATTATAAACCACATTTCACTCAGTTCATTGTTATGCATAGTAAAATTATGACAGAGATGAAGTTCATAGGCTCTCTTTGAACAGCCAGATGGAGTTTTAAAAACTCCTTGTAGAACGTACTGTGCTTTCTCCTCAGCAATCACCTTGATCACTACCTTGAATATATCTTAGCATCACGATCTCTTAGATGATGGGTGAGGAATACACTCTTAGTGCTGTCACCTGAAACTTTGCCCTCCTGTCCTCTTGGTTGACACCCATGCTTCAGCCTGTGCTTGAACCTAGGGGGCAAATAACCTCTGGTAGCATAGTGGCTAAAGCACTTGACTGCTAACCAGAAGGCTGGTGGTTCAA